TAACACACCCTCCAAATTTAGTTGTGGCGATAAGCTGAATAACTTGCTATCACTTCCTTTAAACTACTGTTTCAACCCCTCCACCACCCCAGCATGCTCTTTACTCATCACACTGTAATGTCTGTATGGAACACTATTTTGAGAAGTGAGCTCAGAGCCTAGCAACCCTTACGTATACTCTACTGCTGTATAATAATAATCATTTCTTACATGAGCTGTCTGACTGTTGCTTTGTTATTTTGTCAGTGTAGTTTGCTCTCTTGTATAACTAGCATAGAGACAGAAGTCTTCAATGACTATGACTTTATTAACACTAGCTAAAACAGGGGTGGGCAATCTCAGTCCACGAGGGCCGGTGTCCCTGCAGGTTTTAGATGTGTCCTCGAACCAACACAGCTGATTTAAATGGCTAAATTAGCTCCTCGACGTGTCCTGAAGTTCTCCAGAGGCCTGGCAACGAACTAATCATGTGATTCAGGTGTGTTGACCCAAGGTGAGATCTAAAGCCTGCAGGGACACCGGCCCTCGTGAGATTGCCTGAGATTGCCCAACCCTGAGCTAACATCAGCCACTATGAGCTACTGGCCACACTGAGCCGAGCAAAATGCCTTCGTGTTTTGAACGCACTAAACTGAGCTTTGAGGTCCCTTTGAAAGAAGTAGAATGACATTATTTTTAAAGGCTATACTGTCTCACTTTAAAAGGAACTTTTTTCAATGAAAAAACATTGTCGACGATGCTAACTGTCCTTCTGTTGACTTCACAGTAGCTTTAGCAGCCTGTACAGGAGATGCACGAGCATAATTAAAAACATTATTAACAAATGCATTAAATCTAGGGAAGCAAGCTCTGGGGCATTATAAGACACACTTTAATGAATCAAATTGGCTGCCACAAAAGCACAGGTACTAAGCAAACTTTGGATGCTCTTTAATGCCATTTTTATTAGATCTGATTTAAATGTAAATTACCTATGTCTAAAACAACACTTGGTTTCTTGTTTCTCACTGTTGTGCTAAACTGCAGCTGGCAGCAGATGTGAGGAACCTAGAGAGTAGAGGAGAGGAGAGCAGAGGAGGTGCAGGGAGTGAGATGCAGGCATCAGGCTGCAGTGTGTCTAGACAGTATTCATGATCCATCTGTCTGCCACCGCCGCGACAACAGCCAGCGGCTGCAACAAGATGGCAAACTCCATTAACACAGAAACGTTTTCTATGTCCCTCTCCCTTCCTCCTTTCCTCCTCTTAATCCCCCTCTCTTCCCATCCATGGCTGTGTCTCTGCCTGGTCTTCCATCTCACTTCAAGCCCCTCTTTGTCTCGTCTCCCCCTGGGACTGCCTGCACTTTTTTTCTTATTTTTTTGTAATCTTCCTATTCCGTTTTTCTCCTTTCTCTCACCTTCTTTTCCCCGCAACCATCTCTCTGCCCTCCTTGTGTCTCTATGGCATCAACAGAAAATGTGCACCAGCTCAGAAAATTACACTCA